ATAGGAGTATTGTTAACCCTCAGTCTGCAAGACTGTTTTGAGGGTAGTTTTTAAGTGTTTCTCGAAACGGTTTAAATTTTTGCATCAACAATCCTCGTATTAATCAGAATGCAACATTTGTAACCCGCAATCTGCAAGGCTGTTTTGGGGGTAGTTTTAACGGTTTCACCGAACGGGTTAACATTTTGCATCAATAATCGTCGTATTGAGAAATAAGCAAATGTCGAGCTTTGACTTGATCGGAGTATTTTTAACCCTCAGTCTGCAAGTCTCTTTGTTTGGGGGTGGTTTTTAAAGGTTCCTCCAAACGGGCTGAAATTTTACACCAAAAATCCTGGTATTAAAAAGTAAACACAAATCGAAATTCGGCTTGATCGGAGTATTTTTAACCCCCAGTCTGCAAGGGTAGTTTTTTAAGGATTTCTGCGAACGAGTTAAAATTTTGTGTCAACAATCTTCGTATTGAGAAATAAGCAAATGTCGAGTTTTAACTTGATCGGAGCATTTTTAACCCCTAGTTTGCAAGATAAGCAGTGGTCTGCAGATTAGACAGGCCCTGACTAGGACAAGTTTACAAGGGTCTTTAGTTAAGCCCTCATAAAAATTAGTGGAAGTTAATAGACGTCTGAGGTAGACTCCGCACAAGAATTCTGGTCAAAGTATAGCTAGGTTTTCTTGCAACTGTGAGTAGACCAGCGATCGGTTTAAGGTAGTTTGAACAGTACGCAAAATGTAGTAAAACTTATTTCCGTAGAGTACGAAACAGATATTTGTATAACTGTTCGACCTCTACCGATATTTTCAGCAACTTACCACCAAAGAACAGCGTCTTTCGAACCTTTGGTTTCGACTTTTCTAGAGTGCTAAAATTGCCACACAAACGCCTCCCTGAAGCAATTCTATCCGGACCCTTGGACCCGGAGTCAAGACTTGGATGGGTGATCCAAGACGGCCAAACAGGCTTGGACATAGAATATACCCAAAGTTTTCTAGGGATTGGATCGCCCGTCCGCCTGTACGGTTCCGTGTGTGTCATCCCCAGACGTTGAGAAGCAAAACTGATTGCGAATTATGTAAGGTAATGTATATTATAAAATTGAAATAGAAATCTACTTTGCAAAATTTTCAGATGCCGTCATCAAATTGTTGATGATCAGACAAATTTTGGCTAGCGTTTTAGTTTTACTATACATACACAATATTCTTAAAATTCGGAGATTATGTGTAATAAATCAGAGGCCTGACAGACGAAAACAGAGAACTTACTTTTCTATATCTTAGAAATAGTTTAAGTGACTAATTTTTACTTCCCGAGCGTAAGCAAAGGAAGTATTGTAATCGAGTCCGTCGGCCGACTCTCTACTTTTACGTTTTCTCGATCTTTCATGACCCCTAGAAGACGAAGAAATAGGTCTCCCATTTCCGTCTGTCTGTCCGTCTGTCCGTCTGTCCGTCTGTCCGTCTGTCCGTCTGTCCGTCTGTCCGTCCGTCTGTCCGTCTGTCCGTCTGTTGTCACGGATTTTTATTAGACAGATAATCTCCGAAAGTACTTGACCGATTGTTGTGAAATTTTGTACTTATATTAAGAATATCATGTAGATGGTAAAACGCTAACCAAAATTTGTCGAATCATCCCCACCACTAAAGCGATGACGTCACTTCAAAATTGTACATAGTAAATGGGTTTTCAATTGTATAAAATAACATAGTCCTACACATGTAGTTTACAACTCTGAATCGACTTTTCACCCGAAACGTCCAGATTTTTGGAAAAAAAATCAAAATTATAAAACAACATTTTGAAATTTAATTTTTAATCTGCTAACCAGAATGCTTTGAAATGTTGCAGATGTTTTAAGGCTATAAAGAGCATCATAAATCTTTAGTCAAAAAATATTTGCTTATCCCCTCCAAAAACTTGATGACGTCAGCTCAAAAGTTTGTGGAATAAATCATATCTAAAATGTACAAAATATGATGAGTCTGTAGTTGTGAACTATCACTCCATTCATATTTTTTGGATTTGCATATACAGGGTGACTCAAAAAAATTAATGAATGCGTAAATATATTTTATTGATTTAATCAGGAACTACAAAACCGAATTCTCTGAAATCTTGCAGATGTTTTAAGGTCATAAAGAGCATAATAAATGTTTAGTCAAAATATATTTGCTTATCCCCTCCAAAAACTTGATGACGTCAGCTCGAAAGTTTGCCGAATAAATCATATCTAAAATGTACAAAATATGATGAGCCTGTACTTGTCATTTATCACTCCATTCATATTTTTTGGATTTGCATATACAGAGTGACTCAAAAAAATTAATGAATGCGTAAATTTATTTTATTGATTTAATCAGGAACTACAAAACCGAATGCTTTGAAATCTTGCAGATGTTTTAAGGTTATAAAGAGCATAATAAATTTTTAGTCAAAATATATTTGGTTATCTTCTACAAAAAACTGATGACGTCAGCTCAAAAGTTTTCCGAATAAATCGTATCTAAAATGTACAAAATATGATGAGTCTGTACTTGTGATTTATCATTCCATTCATATTTTTGGATTTGCATATGCAGGGTGACTCAAAAAAATTAATGAAGGCGTGAATTTATTTTATCGATTTAATCAGGAATTACAAAACCGAATGCTTTGAAATCTTGGGAATATTTTAAAGTTATTATAAGCATGGTAAACTTTTGTTCAAAATGTATTTGTTCATCCCTCCTAAAAAAATTGATGACGTCACCCTTAAATTTTGCTGAATAAATCCTATCTAAAATGCAAAAAATACGATGAGTTTGTACTTGTGATTTATCATTCCATTCATATTTTTTAGATTTTCTTAAGAGGTGGTTCAAAAAAATTAATGAAGTCAATTTATTTTATTGATTAAATTAAAGGCAACACTTATTATTAGTATTACACCCCAACCAACCCAATTTGGTAGACACAAAATTTGTTAAAGGAAAAACTCGGTTGAAACATAAGGGTAGCACGCTTATTTACATCGACTTTAACATTACAGACCTGCATTTGTTTTATGCGTTCACTTGATTCCGCGAATGTGAAATAGACATGTTTATAATCAACCAATTGTGAATTTCACCGTCAAGAATTAAAATAAAACCCAATGTTTTATATAATAAGCGGAAGTCGAAGCAATAAAACCGACGGTCGTTTTGTTTACAGTTTCTGTGTTTGGCTCTCACGTATGCTGTTACGCCTGTCATCTTAAATTAACAATGTTTATACATACACGATTTTCAGTTGCCTCTGATACGTAGGTATACGTGAGTAAATTGTTTCGTTATTTTATTGATTATTACAAATCAATATTCAAACGACCCAATTCATTTTCCCGAAAATTTGAGAATATAATAATTTTATTCTTAGTATTACACTACATCTATCCCAACTGATATACGTGTCCTTGCAAAAATGTTGATGACGTCATCGCAATTTTTTTTTAAATTCCCACTACAAAAATGTAATGAGAAAAAAAACACAATAGGCATGCAGTCGTCAAGTTTCCGACAGCGAGGGAAGTACTGTCTAAACTCTTTAGACCAATTTTTTTTTTATTATTAAATGCGTAGGTATGATAGATGATGTAATCTACATAAAACACAAATAAATAATTACGATTGTTATTAGAGATGTACCGACTGTAGGTCTGGCCGACTAACCGACTAGCCGATTGTTCGGCCAGTAAAAACCGACTAGTCGGCCGACTGTTCGGCTTTGCTAAAACTGGTTTATAAATGCGACAGACAGCGTGTTTTTTTTTTTCTATTTCTCTGACTACCTTAAAAATTTGTTTTATTTTAATAAAAGGAATAACTAAACTTCCTTTGTTTTCCAAAAAATGTATTAAATTTGTTTGGATAATTTTAACATTTAATTTTTTTGTAGTAAGTAACTCAGTACAAAACTTGAAAAATTGGAAAATCACAACGTTAAAAAACCTAAAAATTGAAAAAATAAAGAAAATAAAAGCTCAAACGAAAAATTCAAAAATTAAAAATCGAAAAATTCAAAAATGGAAAAATTCTAGCATCGTAGAATTGAAAAAGTGAAAAATTTTAAGTCATAATTATTATTATTATGCAAATCAAAAATTGAAGAAATAAAAATTGAAAATCGAGAAACTGAAAAATCTATAACTGTTTTATACTCGTATACTATTTTAATTTTATAAAAAAAGCCGACCGATCGGCTGTTTAGCCGACCAGTCGCCGACTGCCAGCCGACGATGCAAAGCGGCCGAATAGTCGGCTTATCCGACCGGTCGGCCACTAGTCGGTACATCCCTAATTGTTATATATCTACTTTAAACTTTTGCTTAGGCTTGGCAGTGAGCTTGCTTTTTATGTAAATGTAAATATATAATGGGAAAGATTTAAAAGTAGGCACATCTATCGTGTCCAGACGAACTGAAGTTAATGCTCTGTGCAAATCCTTGTTTCCACGTACATGATCATAGTTCAGAATTGTTTCTTTCCGAATCTCAACAATAATAATGCCCTTAGTGGATAGACAACGATAGACAAATGACTTACCTATGTGTTGCCTATGCTGAATCTCATAAATATTAAACACAATATACTTATTTTAATTTTTACTCAAATTAAAATTCAATTTACCTTTGTAATCTACATTTCGTACAAAATGCGTGATCTACTAACTAAAGTTTGTCGTTTTAGATTTTATTTTTTTCTCTATATATTTAATTAATTTTAACAAAAGTACGGTAAATTATATACCTACGTTAAAGCAAATTTTATGTGCATTTAAGTTAGATAATCGTGTTTAAAAATTAAATACTATATTAATCATTTTCATAAAAATGAAAAATGCTTATTTGATATTACTGTCTGCATACATCCATTATTTTTTACTAATAATAGATATATGACTGCCCCTCTTGTCTATTTGGGAAATTTCAGTACACCACAATGTATACAAAATCTTCATCTATTGTGAATAAATACTACACTTTTCAATGGTCCAGTTGTATTTATTTTAAATGTACAGCAAATATAAAATTTAATGTATATTTTACTTTTGAAAATAACATCAATTGCTTGATACATACTACAAACTAAATCTATCTACTTGACCTTGTCTTTTGAAGCATATTTTATGAAAATGAAGCATTTATTTTAAATTAAGAAATATCAATTATTCTATCTTACACTTACACTGTATATAGAAAAGGAACTCTTCCTAAAAATTGTGCACCTACATCATAGTTAAATCACATCATAATATAATTAATTCAAGGCAATAAATATAGATTCCTCACACTATCACACAAAAGCTTCACATTTGTACACACAAATGCAGAAAATTATCAGGATAACTAAGATGTTCAGACATCCATTGCAGTGGAGTTTCCAAAGGTGGAATCATTCCGTGTGTTTTAATATTGACTGAAAATTACATTTAATAATATTTAAATTATCATTTGTTAAGTTAAAAATTACCATTTCTCCCAGGAAACATCTCATTGATTAAGTCTTGTAATGTTTTACGACGGCCATCTTCTGCAACAGGTTTGATTAGTTTTTGCCGATATCCATCATCTATATAACATCTAAATGGAATGTATTTGAAGTGCTCTTGTTCTGAAGAAACTTCCATAAGTTTACGATTGACAGCCCAAAACTGTTCAAATTTGTCTATAAAATAAAATCACTATAACTTTCTATGTAAGTTAAATTAAACAAAAAATACCATTTTGAAGGCCCAACCATAACTGGTTATGATCTTTCTTTTGCATGTTACTTGCAATTTGTCCTCGATGTTTTAACACATCTGCTTCCTTCAAACAAGCCATAAAATATGACTCGACAGTCTCTCTAAAATAAAAACATTATACAATCAGCAAGTAATATAACATACATACTTATTGTTAAATCTATAGATCTGATTTTCAGGAAATTTGTCAAAATGAACGGTTATGTTCCACGGAAGTTGGTCATCTGATGTGATTAATAAGTCAAAAAGCACGCCTATAGGATAATGCCACTTTATCGGTTGACCATCATATTCCAACCACATTTCTCTGTCTTGTTTATCGTTGGCTACATACCGCAAAAAATGTTTACGAACTTTATCCGTAACTAAAGGAAAATAACTTAAACGTGGTACCATTAAATAAAACTGATCTGGTTGTTGCAATTCAACAACTTCATCAGGATCCAGTTGAAATGATATGGGAAGTTTACCCTCCCAAACTTCACGAAGAATTTCGCGATCGTTGGCCATATTTCTCAAAAAAAATTAAACAGTTTCTTAGTACTAGATCGCCATACTTAGTAAACGATAAGAAATGTTTTTTAAACAGGCAATTGATAAGTTTATTACACCGACATTACAAAGCATTTTAGGTTAGAAAATATCAGATAGACAATACAGAGACAATGGACCCTAGCTGTCACAAACCAGTTCTGCCAAATCAAAGGATAGAATTTTACTAAATTACACCGAGTGAAGTTAACATAACCTTAATTCCTTAATTTTGAGCGTTTCTGTCCCACGTGTTGCGACGAGTTCTGTATTTTCAATTGTGTTAAAATGTCTATCCAAGACAAAGTGTTAATGAGAAAAATCAAAAAACGTGAAAAGCAAAAATTGAAGTTGGTACAACAAAAGGAAAATCAATTAATGCAATCTCTTAATGAGGATATGGAAGTAAATCAAGGACCACCACTGGTACCATCGATTAGTGGGAAAAGACAACCCAATGAACATATAGGACCTGGTCGTAGTAAGTATGATTTTTATTACAAGACCTGAAGGCAAGTTGTTAACGTATTTTGGAAAGTTATGCAAGTGGACCACTTGGCAGTTATGGGCATAATAATTTTATGTAAAAATTGTAGATTGACTGTAAGAAAGACTGAATTCAGCTACCCCAGGTTCTTTTATCGTTAAAATTACCTAGATGTAATTTAAGTGAAGTGGCTGAGGTGATTTTTAAACAGTAGCAAGGGCATGAACAAGAACCAGACAATAAAACAGTTGTTCCATTAGTTATGTGATATGAACAAAATTTATAGTGCGTCAATGAACACTGTTATAAAACAAAAGCGTTGCGCTGTTTTTAAAAATGTCCTTTCATATTAATAAGCATTCACGTTCGGTAGAAGTAGCTGACAGAAATTCTTCTATGGTTAACATGTAAAGTGCCATAAATGACCCACCATTTCTTAATATTTTAAAAGCTCAATATGGCCGTGGTGGCTTCCAATAACCCACCACTCTTTTATCTACTTCAGGCCGTGTCAGTCTGCGTAGACCCAATATTTCAATGCTTTATGTACGTAATAGTGTTGCTAGATGTTTTAGCAACTTTATTTTTTGGTTGGCCTCTAGTCTGGTGGGCAAATAACACCCATCAATAAAGTTGCATTGTGATTATATGTTTTTGTGAAATAATCTGAAATGAGTGGCTTTTCAGATAAAGTTTAATTTATTAGAATGTTAATAACATAATATATAGTGTAAAAGATATTCTAAATGCCACACACAACATCTAATAAATTACATATTACATACTATGTAAGTATTCAGTTTTTCAAATCAGCTTTGTAATTATTACAGTTAAACAGTTTTTTTGGGTGTAGTCGGCTTGTCATTTGAAGAATCAGATTCTTCTGTAGGTTCATATTCAGACACATTGGGCAAAAAATCAGACTCATCCAATAAAAAAGTGTCCCATATTTTTTGTAAATGGGCTTGCCATTTTCAACATTGTTTCTTACGCAGAAAACAAATGATTGAATCAACGTCAAACAATTGCAACAGGAATAGACAAGAATTACTGGAGGGCTGAATCGACCCCCCACGAATAATTACGAACAAGTAATAATTAAGGGCCAAGATGGGTTAATGTAACCCACTAAAGTATTTTTTAATTTTAACAACAAAAATTCTAAATATAAAAAATTTTAATGGCACGATATTGTTTTAATATTTTTACATCACAAAAAAAAAGAGTTTGGCCATTATGAATCGATTTTACGATTTTCCATTGCGGCACTTTACTGTTAAGTTGCAATCTTAAGGGGACTCGCTAGACGAGGTATAATATTTTTTTGGTTTTTTGTATGAAAAAATAATATTAATATAGATGTATCATACATCAAACTGCAGGTTTTTCATATTCTAGACCACAAGAGACCAGGGACCCTACTCTTGACTTCGCTGAGTTTTCTCACTGGTGACAAAAGTCATGTGTTTAATTTCACTAATTTGAATAAGTGTCTACTCTTGACAACCTGTGAGATGATAAATCTCACCCAATGAGTTATTTCACCAAAATATGTGGCAACGCCGTGGGAATTAAAATGTATCGAACAAACGAGAAGCGAATAATTGACAAATGACAATTTTTTTTGAAGTTCGAGCGCAAAAACTTTTAATTATTGAATACAATGAAAATAACGGAAATACAGAAAGACATCTTGGTCAAATTTGTGAAAAGTAATCCAGATTTGACGTCTGGGAAGTTTTCTCCAACTTTTACAACAAAAAAGACAGAAGAGTTGTGGATAACTGTTGCGCGTGCTTCGGCTTATTCTTCTTGAGGCCCATGCACATCGTCATCCAATAATCCTTAAAATAAGTATTAAAATGTTCTGAATTGTTATCTAGACGATTTCAGTACTATCACGAATATTAATTTCTCCCAAATCTTCAGGCGGAGGAATGTTATTTTGAATGCACAAATTGTGAAAAACACACAAGCGTTTATAATTTTTCCGGCTACTTCTGGCATATAATGTAACACTCGATCTTTTAAACAACATCTGAATCATCCTTTCAATAAAGCATGGCATCGTTCTACCAAACTTCTTACTCTCTTATGTTGTACGTTAAAACGATACATAACGATGGGGGGGGGAGGTACACTGGCTATATGGGTACAGTCTATGCATCCTATTACTCCAGCAAATCCGAAATCGTTACAAAATCTATAAGAAAATCTTCTAGGTATAATTGAAGCTCTTGGAAGTTTCTGGGAAACTTAACCATTGCATTTAAAATCTCTAGTTTATTCAATGCTTCTGTAACTTCTCGGACACTTCGGCTTACACTTTGTTGGGAAATATCGATATAAGCATTGTATCCAACATCATCTGTCTGATACCAGCATAAAAACGCAAAGCTGCAAGAACCTAAAAATTTTAAGTAGAACCTGCATTCTTCTTAAATGTGTACTTTTTATAGAGTACCTAATATATTTAAATGAGGGCAGTTTTGTGATAGACATACTTAGATACCTGTGTATTTACAGCTAGATTTGTCAATCTTACTTTTGGTCGCATATGTGGTTCCACCAAACTAACAATACTATAATTAAACAGTCTCTTATTAAGGGTGGCGTCTGGTTCGGTTTCGCCCAATACTAAATACATTGAAAACATCGTCGTAGTTTCCGGAATTGCATTTTTAAAATACTGAAATCTCCAACCAAGTCAGAATCTAAGTAAACCTGCATTCTGCTACCGCATCACAGCTCGTTTAATGCCGATTTCTCGTTTCAATAGATTTTGACTTTTCGCGAGTTATTTACCTCAGTCGTGGATTTTTTAATATTATAAATGGTATCAAAAGAAAGCTGACACTTTTCCCCAGGGGACCTCCTATCTCAGAATGCAAAAAACTTCAGTACTTCGTCAAAAAATGCATCAATGTGCCGGTTAAAATGTGATGTAAAAGTTGTTCAACTTTATAATTTTTTTTTGTAAAAACTGCATACTAGATATGAATATAAATATGGAGGTCCCCTGGACTGAAGTTTGTTAATTCGAAATATAATTTTTTTAAAGCGATATATCTCATATTTTTAAAATGCAACTCCGGAAACCGCGACGATGTTTTCAATGTATTTAGTATAGGGCTAAACCGAACCAGACGCCAGCCTTAACCCTAAATAATTTGATAAATTGTTTTTCGGGCAATTCAGTTAAGGGATTGCCAGTACATCGCGAAGCAGGTTCCAAATCCTCAACATCATCGTTTAAAATATTTTGCATTACAAAATCATCCATTTTTTAAAAAATATTTAATCATCAAAAACAAAACGGACCAAAATAGTAATAGCACACGTTAAAATATTTCAGAATGTAAAAAGCACACAAAAACATACAAATCTCTCCCAAAATGAGAAATCTCATCGAAAAAGTATCAACTGTTTAAAGTCACGCGTTTCCATGTGGATTTTCTCATCGCTGAGTTGAATCATTGTGTCAAGAGTAGACTTTTAAAAAATTTCACTAAAATCACGTCATTTTAGTGAAAAAAGTCACAAATCAGAAAACTCACTCGGTCAAGAGTAAGCTCCCAGTTCAATAAATTAAAAAAATATGGCTGAGAAATATCGTAAAAAAAGCACCATTGTATGTTTTATTTTCAAGTTTTTTGAGTCATAACCATCATAGAATCGCTTGAAAATTCGCACATGGATAAAACATCACTTTTTACAGAGCGCAGAGTCATTAAATGTTTGTTAGTCGTACAATTTGTTTAAATAATAATGTGTTTATTAAAATCAAAATATACCACAAATTAATGCAAAATACGTAGAATAATTTTAACAGGAATATCAGAGGAAAATTAATGATAAATGGCAGAGTTTTTAACAAAAACTAACAATTATTGAAAAAAATGGGTTTTACTTGGAAAGTCGTTTCCGTAAATTGTAGTGGCGCTCCTATCGGCAAAGTCCTGAACTAACGGTTCAAATTCTGTCGAATTGATACCCATTTTTTTTAGTTTAGTAAAACTTAGTATTGAGTTGTTTGGGTCACGACGTATGAACCGAAGAGTGCTCCAAAGAAACGCTTGCTACACTATGTCTTATTACAAGTGTAATTAATATACATTGTTTTCTGGTTTATCCGTTATTTTATAAAAAAAAAACCTGCAGGTCATAATTTAGGTTTTTTGGCATATGACTTGGCTAGGTGGCAACGTTGTCAAAAACTTTAGTACATAGTTTAGGAAGTGACATCAAAACGAAGGAGGTTATGGATTTGACCGGTGATATTTGACGTATGTGTGACGTTCTTGAAAACGTGATACCAATATTACAAAACAAACTCTTTCTAGCATCAGTTTCACAAAAGCTTATATTGTGAATCTGTTTTCGGTTTCATAATGAGCCTATTTTGAACGCAAATTAGAAAAAATAAAATGCATTATTTTCTTACACAATTGTGAACTTTTTCACAATAATTATTTAAGTAAAGTTAAAGATAAAAAGGTGGATTACTAATCCACATCGAAAGGGGTGTGGTATTAATGACTCGTTTGTACACATTTTAAATGAGATTTACTCAACAAAATTTTGAAACGATGTCAGGATTTTTCTTGGGGAGATAAATGTACAAATTTTGATACGCAACACTAATAACAATGTTTTACACCTAGGGTTTCAAAAAAATTAGTTGTGCTGTTTTTCAGTTGATCAATAAAGACATTGATTAATATTAAAACTGTCCGACATAAGTCATTCCAAACAATAAAAACGTTTTGAAAACTCAAAAAAAACATGGACCTCAAATAATTTATGTTTTATTTAGGTAATAATTTTCACGACGACATCCGATTTGTCAGGTGTCTAAAGGCATTGTTATATAGGTTCTCAGATGAATTGTAAAATTCATTCAAGTATAACTTTTAATTTATGGGTATATTATTTATTAAACTAGGCATTTAATTCCAAACCAGATTTAATAAGGATTATTTTAGATGACGTCATCCAATTTTTGCTGCGAATAAAAAGACAAATTTAAATTTTGCAAAGCGTTGAACCGTCGGTACTCAGTAACTGTGTTCCATTTCGAGTGGGAAGGGGAAAAATCTATTGGAAGTGTATTTTATATGGGAGCATTAGCAACCGGTGTTGGCAGTTATCAAAAACCTACCGATTTATGAAGAAGTTGAAACATGAGTCTTATAAAATTTTGTTACCATTTTTATTCATGAAATAAACCCTGTCGGATTTTGAAAGCATTTTTTCTACCTTTTCTTCTGATATTATACTCTTTAGGTTTGTTATAATTTCCAAAGTTTGGAATTTGTCAATCATCTATACATTTGCCATTCCAAAATCATTTTTGTTGTTATGGGTAAACAAAATACAAACTTTGATTGGATCGTTTCTCACAAGCGGGGGTATTACGAGATAACTCGAAAGATACCACCAAACATTAAAACCTTCATTGGTTAACTTATTCGTTTTTTACGTTTTAAAAGTTTTTTGTTGGGCATATGTTATATTTAAAGATAGATAATTTTAAGTGTTTCAAAGACTGCATGAAAATCAAGATATACATAATACGCCTAAGATTGTTTTGTAACAATCTACATGAAAATACAGACAGTAACTTGTTTTTGATTTGTATTGTATTAATCTATTTTAATTATTTTTTAAAGAAAAAAAGAGAAAAAATGAGAGTGATTCGAGTGAGGAAGAAGAAGAAGGGGAAGGGACTGATCCCGAACCAAATGAAGAACAGAATACCCGTAAGTTTTACATTTTCTATACTTTCTAAGTTTTTTTTTTTTTTTTAATTTTAAATTGTTTATGTGATGAGTTGAAGGCGAATGTGAATCTCCTCGCTTTGCCTAGCCTGGCAAAGTTAGAGTTGAGAGTGAACAGTGAACACAATCTTTGATCTGAACTCTATTATTTACAACGGGATTTAATGTTTTCGGAGTCGTTTTTGTTTCAAATGATATTTTTGCAGTGCCTGGTGCAGAAACGGCATTGGAAATTTTAAGTAACTCCAACTTTGACACTTTAAAAAACAAAGTTTGTGAAAACACCCTTAAAGCAATAGTTGATATGGGTTTCACAAAAATGACCGAAATTCAAGCAAGGTCCATTCCACCACTATTGGAAGGTCGTGATTTGGTTGGGGCTGCGAAAACAGGATCAGGAAAAACTCTAGCTTTTCTTGTTCCCGCGGTAGAATTGATTTACAAGCTGAAATTTATGCCTCGAAATGGTAAAAGGTTATATTTATTTATTATTAAGTTCTAATATTTTGCTTTTTACGAAGGTACTGGAGTTATTATTATATCACCTACAAGAGAATTGTCAATGCAGACCTTTGGCGTCTTAAAAGAATTAATGAAATATCATCATCACACCTATGGTTTGGTAATGGGCGGAGCAAGTCGGCAAACTGAGGCACAGAAATTATCAAAAGGGATTAATATTTTGGTGGCGACTCCGGGACGTTTACTTGATCACATGCAAAATACCCCGGATTTTTTATTTAAAAATCTTCAGTGTTTAATTATTGATGAAGCAGACAGAATATTAGATATTGGTTTTGAAGAAGAGATGAAGCAGATTATTAATCTTCTACCAAGTAAGTAGAACTTTAAATTGTATTAAGTTTTTGTAATAGTTTTGAATGATATTTGTCTGAGTTATGTGTGAACTCTAGTCACTTTATACCGCTGTAGTAATAATAATTTACATTTACAATGTACTTTTATTATTTATATAACTTTACGTTAAAATCTCTCATTTTGAATTCGTTGCAATAAATTGCTTAAAACTACTGTTCATATCATTTTGTAACACAGAACTAAGCGAGTATATGTTAATACATACATCACTTCTTAGAGAACAGTATTTTAAATCTAGTTTTGTTCTTATTCTGGGAGGTTATGTTTATAAAGGGTGAGTATAAATGTGCACCCTATCCAAATAAATATAACAATTATACTTGATATAATAGATGTTTAATTTTAAAGTGAAAAATCCGAAATTTAGTCTTCTTACTGATCTGCCTTAATATAACCTAATTTTTATTTTAGAGCGACGGCAAACTATGTTGTTTAGTGCCACGCAGAGTAAAAAAACTGAAGCTTTAACAGCTTTGGCTTTGAAAAAAGAACCCATCTATGTTGGAGTTGATGATTCCAAAAGCGAAGCGACAGTTACTGGTCTTGAACAAGGCTACGTCGTGTGTCCTTCAGAGAAGAGATTGTTATTTTTATTTACATTTTTGAAGAAAAATTTGAAGAGTAAAAAGAACGATAAGAAGAAAATTATGGTATTCTTTAGTTCTTGCATGTCAGTAAAGTACCACTATGAGTTATTCAACTACATTGACCTAGAAGTAATGTGCATCCATGTAAGTTCTTTTCGCATTGTTACGTTTTGTGGCGTCTTAATTGTATTCAACTTTGATTTTAGGGTAAACAAAAGCAGGCAAAGCGAACCACCACATTTTTCCAGTTTTGTAACGCCGATTCGGGAATTCTACTATGTACAGATGTAGCAGCGCGAGGATTAGATATACCAGCAGTTGATTGGATAGTACAATATGATCCACCAGACGATCCTAAGGAGTACATTCATAGAGTAGGTAGAACTGCTCGTGGAGAGGGAAGTAGTGGCCATGCTTTACTGATGCTGAGACCTGAGGAACTGGGTTTTCTTAGGTATTTAAAACACGCAAAAGTGCCATTAAATGAGTTTGATCTCAGTTGGAACAAGATAGCCGATATTCAGTTACAGGTAGGCATACCTAATCATTAAAATATAGATGAATTTATTTAATATATTTTCAGTTGGAAACTTTGATTGGTAAAAACTACTTTTTGAACATGTCAGCAAAAGAAGCTTTCAAAGCATATGTGCGAGCTTACGACTCTCATCATCTTAAAACTATATTTGATATTAATACACTTGATTTAGCTAAAGTAGCTTCATCTTTTGGTTTTAAAGTGCCACCAGCAATTGACTTGAGTAAGTTAAATCATTTTGCCTACCGGAACCTTCATAAAAATTTATCGTTACAATTTACAGAAGTAGGTGTCAAGAAGTCAGAAAGACCGTCAAAGAGAAAAGGTGGAGGAGGATTTGGTTACTATAAAAATATGAATTCTTTATCCAGTAAAGATTACAAGAAAAACACAGTGTATAGGCAACCAAGACGAAAAAACGGCGCGAATTCATTTAATTAGAAGAAACATATTTTTATTTTTTTAATCATTCAGGTGTTATATATTTTTTTTTGTCAACACAACTTTATTTTAAATCATTAAAAAAATTGTAAGTGATTTACACAATTTCCATCACTGTTGAAGCACAAAAATATCGCTCTTTTTTAAAGTGATACTAGGTTTTTCAGTAGAAAATATGTATTAATAAACTCACAAATGTATAAATTACGTATGCTCTTCAATCCCTAAGTCACTGTAAATTCTTTATCAAAATTTTAAAGAAGTCTAATTTTTGGAGGTAACTAAATGTAAATTTCATTGTACAAACTGTATATGTAACGTTAAAAATAGAAGTGGGTTTATTAAATTACAGTACAGGAGAATATCACGCTGCACATTCCAAGTGTGTTACTTAATCAAGTGTTGAGTGAACATTTCGTAGGCTAGAAGAATATCTTGGTCAGTTTTAGTTAATATAATTGATTTATCAGTTCTGGAACTGACCCATTTAAAAAACTACAAAATATGCGTTTTAAATCAACAACGAAAATGTGAAATCAAACTAGGTAAAAAAGACCCTTTTACAGGCCTAGGTACAATCGGACAGTAAAATAGATTTTTAGTACACCATCGTAACAATGGAAGATTTAAGTGGTTATATTTGTAAAATTCTGAAAGCTTTGATTTTAGTTTTCCGACTTAGTTGTTATTAATAATAATAATAAGTTATATACATGTTACGGTTTTATTTGTTTTTATGTTAAATTGAAGTAAGCATAAAAATTCTTGTATGTAGCAATACGAAGGAATGTTGATAAATCGCCAGCTGTAAATAAAGCCGAGAGCGGCTACTATAACAAGGGATGAATTGTTTGACAAGTAGACCGTTCTAGACTTTTTTTTTGTAACCCCTGTTACTAAGAATGATGCTCCTGAGGTTAGCTCCAGATTTTTATTTGGATTTGTGTTTCGCTGACTTAAATTGAGGTCACCTTGCGTTGGATCACGAAGGTAATAAAAGCTTTGCATTGAAATGAATATAACGAAAAAAAAAACTACTTCAAAGTTATAAAAATCAAAAAAGTACTGTGGATGACATGATTTTAAAGGGCGACGAATTGGGCGGTTCAAACGTATACTTGAGTCTTCAAACATTTCATAATATGAAGGTGTCTTTCACTCAGTATATCATGATTTTGGTACGAAAAAATGAGAAGTGACAATCAAAACGAAAAGGGCCATCACGTGGGTTGCGCAGTGAAGCAAGTTACGTTGGTCGAGTCAATTCATAGCTCTCGGGGGATAGAAACATTGGGCAGTAGCGCCGTTAATTTGTCTTAGTTTTGTACTGTCTTCGTATGTCTGGTGCCAACGTTTTGTCTCCTATTTTTTTTTAAGTTATTATTATTTATTTTGTCACTTTGTATTTATTAGCAAGAAGAATTTTGTTTAATAGGGTCCTTAGAGCATTTATTACTTTAATTACATTTTATGATAAGTCAGTTACGCCACTGGTAAGAGATAGGCGCGCATCTGAAGTTCCGCCCATGTCACCTTCCGTTCTGCTTGGCACTCCATCAATTTCACCCTGAATGCTGATCAAAAACGATTCAAAGGAACAATTTCGAAGTCACTTTGCCCCCGTTTTGCAGAAATCGCTCGAATTTTTTAAATCGTAGTGTAATTATGTTGGAAATAAAGTAACAATTGAAGGAATGAAATATGTAGTAGATTGTACATCGAGGGAGAGAAATGCGTTAAGGATGGCATTTCGCTCCTGAGGTGTATATACAATTTCTTGCACTCGCAGAGATCCCTACAGTCTTTCACCTTATAAAAAATTATATCATTATTAAAATAGTAATCATAATAGCCTGTGGATCCTATGTCTAACAAAAAAAAAAAAAACTCAAACAATAAATGTATTTTTTTTTTCAATCGAAAATATCGAAATGCGAAATGAAGATTCGCAAGAAATTCGTACTGCTGCTGAAGCTGCTGTACTGAATTTGTTGCCTCCTAAATTAAATTTGTTTATGTATTTCTCTCCCGAGGGACCGAATATTCTATTTCTCTCCCGATTTTGCGGTCGCGAGTGCAAAAATACGCTTTTCCCCTGTTCCAGAGTAATTTCGTGCTCAAAAATTGGCAGAAGCAGTCTGCGCGCAATTTTAACGCATAAGAATAATTTTGTCGAACTATTTAGAAGTGCATAAAATCATGACTGAACGTATTAAACTGCATTTGCGCAAATGATGTTCAAACTTTCGTTTAACTTCATGTTATGTATACGTATTTATTTATACGATTTCACAGGCGATAAAGACACTTGCGGTTTCCGACTTTTGAAATTCTGTAAGTTTATACAATTACATTTAATCGTGTATTTTGCTGATTCTGTATTCTATTCTAAAGGTACGTGTTCACTGGAGAGCAACTCTCACGAGAGTTCTGATTTTAATTTTATACCATCCTAAAGGATCTTAAGTTGTCATTTCAAATTTCAGAGGCCTATTATTGCAATGAATTCAGTTATTACGAAAAAAATACACGTAAAACAGACTTATCGGAGATCACTATCCCATTTCGAAATGCGTTCGTATTGTGGGAGTCACTCAGAAACTCGGAGAAAGCAGGTAAAAACGATACGCATACCCAGTTGAGGGCAGGTCCGACCATAGCTTTACGGGCTGATTTTGCAATTATTTCTCGCAAGCGCCCTCTCAAGTGGACACGTACCTTAACACTAGCAGATTGTATTATTTCTAAAACTGGTACAAAGAAAATTTTCCTAATGTGTATCAAGCTTGATTCCCGGGACCGTTGCCGGCCAAGTATGCGTTATCCATCTATCATGGCATATAACATCAACGTCAAAAATAGATTTACACAAGATACATTTTTCATTTTCCTCATAATTTTTATGAGAGTTTGTACCAGTTTTATATGTCCACCGATTGTACCTATGACTTTTGCTAAAATCTTGTATGTAGGCATATAATAAAGCGATTTTTCTATAATACACACGGAGGGTTTTGTCGCCTCTTGTAAAAATCGATCGAAGCTTATTTCGACATTCGACAGAACTTCCCTCGCCCCTGGAGTACAATAAAAGCATATCCCGATTTTTCGAAAAATACAAAATTTGATTTTGCCAATTTCATTTTTGTATGAGAACCCCTATAAGTTAACGCACTGTTCAAGTAAATGTGAAGAAGCGTTGCTACACGTATGTTTCAAATGAATTTTTCTTTTATAAAATCTCAGTTTGGACAGGTGAAGCGTAATAAGAGTATTTTATTCTCAAATTTTCGAGAAAATGGAGCGATCCGTTCCTGTTTTAGTCAGTAAAATAATTTGACCCATTGTTTGTTTAAGTCATCCTGTATTAACAATTTTAAAAAATATGAATGCATTGCTAAATCATAACTACAGACTCGTCATCTTTTGCACATTTTTGGAGAGGATAAACTGATAAACAGATATATTTTGATTAAAATTTACCACGTTTACTGTAACTTTAAAACGTCTGCAAGATTTAAAAACATTCGGTTTTGCAGTTTCTAATTTAATCGATTAAATAAATTGATTTATTCATTATTTTGAGTCAATGGTTTTTTTTCCAAAAATCTGGATGTCGCAGGTAAAAACTTATTTTATATAATTTAAAACCCATTTACTATGTACAATTTTGAAATGACTGCATCACATTGTTGATGGGGATGATTGGACAGAGTTTGGTTAATGTTGTACTATGTACATGATATTCATAATACACATATAAAACAGATGACAGCATTACTCCATCTATTTTGCATTTTCTTTTCTCTCCAAATTTTCAGTAACAGGTGCCAAAGTTTTCTTGAAACCTTTAAAATTCCAACTGGTATTCCATTCTCTCTTGATGTGGTTGACTTTCGGCACTTAAACCTGACTATGTACAAACTGTTCCTCGGGATTTGGTTAGCATTTTAAAATTTTATAAATTTTCAAAGTACTTCAGGGGTGAGGGGAATTCTATCAAAATAATTTTCGACCAATATTTTATATCTTCTTTGATAAGTCGATCTCTGAAAAAAAGTCGAAAAATTTCAGAAACAGAACTATCAACTTTAGAAACAGAAAATTCTTAACAAAAAAGAAAGGGAATAAAAAACAAATTAAAATACCATAATAAAATAGTATAATAATATTTCTAGGTTCGATGTGAAAAAATTGATACATGGACATTTGAAAATTATAATAAGTATTTTTAAATTTTTTTATAAACACGATGTGGTGCTAAAGCAAAACTCTTTTTATGAGAAGCTATAATTTTGGCGCAGTCAATTAGCCGACAGGCGTGTAAGAGGTGATATGTTTACAACTTTCAGGCTTCCACAAATGTTAGTTCACCCATCTTTTTCCGTCTCAAGTTGGAAGCGGACAATCGTCGGACTTCTATTCGACAGAGCGACAGACGTCCGTCACTAACAGGACGTTCACCGAATGGAATGCATTACCCCCTGAAGTTGTTGAAAGTGCGTCCGTTCCTACATAATTGTATAGTAATAGTATATTTCAATTAATTTATAATTCCAAGTGTAGTCTTGCATAGGTATAGCACACTTCGGTCTCTGACGCTGTTCCTGAAATAATCAATATATCTACATAAGCAGGTCACTTGTGGCCTTACATAGATCCGTATTTTCTTCCCGGTGATTCATAAGAGTACCTATCCTAATGTTTAAGCCATTAACAGAGATTTGTAGGTAAATGTGGTAAAGTGCAGTTTCATTGTTACCAAAGACGTCATAATATTAATAAAAGAATATTTAGTAGCTGCTTAAGATGTGGTTAAGTAACATGATAGTTAAAGAGGAAACCTGTCATTTATTGTTTTTATTAAAAAAAAAACATTCTACCACTAACGCATACTCATTATCAAATTGGAAGCCTAAAGTAACATTTTACAAGAGACGCGTTCAGCTTTGCATATTTTGTTGTTATATGCAAAACAAATTATGAAAAATATTTCCCAAAATTTAGATAAAGTTTAAAAATGAAGAGTTACCTGAAATTCCGTACAGGCCGATACGTGGGATCATTTCAAACGAAAATTTGGAAAGGAAATTGAA